GCCCGCCGCGGACGGGCCGGGATGCTGAGGCCGAGTTGGGATAAACCCTGATGGTACCATTGCAGGTGCGCTTGGCAATAGCCGAAAAAGCCCTGAAGTGTGAAGAGCATGATGTGAACCTGCCGCTGAGTGAGCACAACGAGCCGTGGTTCATGCGCTTAAATTCCTCTGGAGAAGTACCGGTCCTGATCCATGGGGAAAACATCATTTGTGAGGCGACGCAGATTATCGATTACCTTGAAGCAACGTTTGTAGATGGTAATTCCATAGGTGGTGTGGTGTGAAATCCATCCCCACATACCTGTAGCATGCAGCAGTGTTGGGGTCGGCTCTTTATCGCTGTGTATTGGGTTGTTCAGGACCAGAAAATACTATAATCTCACACGTAAATGGGCTCTCCTAAGAGCTAGTGGTATGGGGTAAAAACACGTTCCTTTAAAATGAACTGAAGGCCTTCCAGCACTTTTACAAGCAGCTGTAAATAAAAAACTCACCACTGATTTAGATTTAGATTAGGAAATTCTTCACTGTGAGGGTGGTCATACACTGGCCCAGGTTGCCCAGAGAAGCTGTGGATGCCCCGTCCCTGGAAGTGTTCAAGGCCAGGCTGGATGAGGCTTTGAGCAACCTGGTCTAGTGGAAGGTGTCCCTGCTGATGGCAGGGGGTTTAGAACTAGATATTCTTTAAGGTCCTTTCCAACCCAAGCCATTCTATGATTCTATGTCCTCCTCACTCCTTTGGGAAGGATGGAGAAGTCAGTAATGTCAGCGTTGCTCTGTGCTGACCCTGTGGTGAGGCTGCTGCGAAACATCATGTGTGGCACAGAGCTGTACAGCTGCTGTTGTAGGGCAGCTCCTGCTTCTCAGCGAGAAAAAGGGAAGATGCTTATTTCCAGAATAATATTGGGCAGAAAAACAAATTATTTTTGGAGCTGAAATGGAGTGTAGAGGTAAAAAAGTAGGAAGAAAAAACTCTGACGTGATCACGCGCAGGCTTTTGAAATTCTTTGTGTCTGTATTGCCAGAAAAGAAGACTGCCTCAATTTTTGAAGGAAATGCAGGGTTGTATTTTTTTAAATGTGAAGAGGCAGCATTTTGTGTTTCAGGAGTTTGGCACTGCAAGTTCTAAGGCATGAAGAAAACGTCGTTGGGTGAACATAATATGTATTTAATGCTGTCTTTTTCATCAAATGAGGAGTTGGAGCCCAGGTGGATTGAGGGCAGAGCATTCCTGATGTGCAGGAATACTTCTAAACATGCTTTGAGTAGGATCCTATACTGTAATTTTTACAGCGCTGTAGCCGTAGTAATGTTTCTGCCGTAACAACTTCCCAGCACCTCAGTTGTTCCCTACTGTGAGAGGGCTAAAAGCGTTGTGTGCCATAGTCGCCTGTTCCTAGAAGTACAAAATAGGTGCTGAGTCTGGTTTTCTGATTGGAAAGCCTCTTAAATACATGTTTATGTGGGCTGCTGCATAGGAATTGGAATTATTCAGATGTTTTAAAATGAAGTACTTGTATATGCATTTCTCTGAGCTGTGAAAACACAGTTGAGTTATGGTGGGGAACAAGAGAAGCTTTCCTAACTGTGGCGATGTCATTTGTGCTGCTTGGATGTAACCAAAGTAACTTTGGAACTATTGCTTTTGGTCAATTACATGATTCTTGTTTTCTTAACTTTATTTTTAACTTTGTATTGCAGAGGAAGTACCAAAATTAATGCCAGAAGAAGGGAGCATGTATTATCCAAGGGTGCAACACTATAGAGAGCTTTTAGATTCCTTGCCTATGGATGCCTACACGCATGGCTGCATCCTGCACCCCGAGTTAACAGTGGACTCCATGATTCCCGCCTATGCTACCAGCAGAATTCGTAGTATGTACTGGTATAGCTCTGAATACCTTTCAGTTGATAGGATGCTGCATTACATTCATGTTGTGTCTCCAGTGCATCTTAAGCAAAGTATATTGAGCACAGATTTCCAATTTTAGTTGCAGTCCTTGATAATTTGTGGATATACTTTTTATTGATTTTGTAGTCTTTTATGATTTGAAAACAGGAAGTAGGAAGTGCAGTTTTTGAGGTGTCTGTGGAATTAATTTTCCTAGTGGTTGGAAATGTGCTTCTTGTGCATAACAGAATGGCAGCTGTGACAGCTGTATTTTATTTCCTGCTCTTGCTCTTGATGCTTATAAAGCAATTTCTAGGGAGCAGCCATATTACTGCTTACATCAAACCACTACACTGGAGGAAACCCATTTTTTTGTGATTGTAAACTTGTAATAAGTTTAAGTGTTAAAGCAGTTGCTTTCCTCTCAAAGTGGTGCAAATGCAGATTAGCCTCAATGAAACAGAGTCTGTTTATCTAATATGTTATAAGATAATCATCAAGCCCTTTTTGTCTGAGGAATGTACTAGTGTCAACTAGTGCCAGGGGCAGGGAGAAAAAAAAAGTGTGAAGAAGTAAGTAGCTTGGGTTCATCAGACTAATGGAAATTGTTAAAGCACAATTTAAACCATAATCCTGGGTGAAAATAGTGCAACAATATAGAATCCAGATAAAGGATGAACCAGTGGTTTGGTAGAATCAGTGGTAAAATGTCTTTTGGCTTCCTTGGGATTGGTATTTTATCTGATGGACTTTTATATACATGCCAGTTTCCCATGAAAAAGTATGTTAACAGCAGAGAAAATAACTGTAAATTATGTTGCCCAGTCCTCTTTATAACAGATCCTGAAATGAGCTCCTGTTTCAAGTCCAGAGGCTTGCAAAAATACTTAGTTTAAACAATGTTCAGTGGTATTCAGAAAAATTCTTGGCAAATAATATTTCAATTCTCATTGCTCTCCCCGCCCCCTACCCCCTTCTGCTCCTCCCCCGACATTTTGTCAGTTTAGACACATATTCATATTGGTAGAGCTAAAATTACTGCTTATCTAAATTGGGAATTTTTCTTATCTATTTATAATTAAAGTGTAGCCTGCTTTCTTGATTTGAGGCATTTGGGGACCTTATTAATATTTATAAAAATATCTAAAGGGCAGGTGTCAATAGGATGGGACCAGACTTTTCAGTGGTGACCAGCGACAGGACAAGGGGCAACAAACACAAACTGGAACACAGGGGGTTCCACTTAAACCTGAGGAAAAGCTTTACGGTGAGGGTGACAGAGCACTGGAACAGGCTGCCCAGAGAGGTTGTGGAGTCTCCTTCTCTGGAGATGTTCAAAACCCGCCTGGATGTGATCCCGTGCAACCTGCTCTAGGTGAACCTGCTCTGGTAGGGGGGTTGGACTATATGATCTCCAGAGGTCCCTTCCAACCTCTACCATTCTGTGATTTTTTTTTTTTTAATAGATTGTAGATGTTCCTAACCAATTCCTTTGCTTTTTCAAACTTCTCCTGAATAATTTAGTTTTCGGCTTTGAAAAGCTGCTCTTTTTCAGAGTGCTAGATATAATAAGCCTCTAGCCAGTTGTGTATTATGTTTATGCATACTGAATATGATTAAGTAATTAATTGCATATATAAGATTTTACTTGGGTGATTACATCCTGCAGATTCTTCATATGCTACATTGAAAGATGGCTTTCACAGTCATGTCAGGTTGAAACAAAGAGTATGTAAGACAGTGGGTTCATTATTGTCTAGCAAGAATTTTTTATCAGTTTAATTTATAAGATTTAATTGGAATTAATCTTAATTATCACATACAAGCGAGAGGTGATTCATGCCCTGTAATTATTTTTTTGTTCTCAGTTTATTACTAGAAATATTTATTTTTAGAAGAAAACTTAATGTTCACTGTCTTTTGGTATTCTAGGTCTGCAAGTTTGGCATTTCCAAGCAAAGTGCCATTTTAAGGAGAGAAAAGGCTATACACATGTAATAGAAATCAGTAAAATATCTTAAATTTTTCACATCATTCCTTCTTTAAGTCATGTAATGAATGTTTTTCTAGAACATCCATATACTCAGTAATTAACATTTCCAAAAGGGATCACAGATTTTGGTGTTACATTTTAGCTAACTGAAAACACCTTGGTTTTATATTCAGTGGTATTTAGGCTTTTGCTGTAGAATTATGCAGGTGATCTACACTGACCTACAGAAAATCTCAGTATGGACCTATCTGCACATTAACAGCATGAAAAGTGTATCAGGAACACAGGAACTGAGGTACAAAAACTTATATAAGAGAACTAAGGTATTTGTAGTAGAATTTAATGGATTTTACATAGTTTTTGTCAGCAAAATTGGTTTATCTAAATAAGAGAAAAATATCAACAAGAATTCCTCATTCTTGCCTGGCAAATCACCACTTTATAAAGTTCATTGCAAACTGATGAGCAGGAGATGTGGTGGGGTCAATTTATGCAGCAGTTAAGTTTTCCAAAACATGATGTTTTTGAATCGCAACTTGGTGGTGATGCTTCATTAAAGTACCACTCCCCATTTCTTCAGTGTGATATTTGTACACAAGGTATTGATCAGTTCCTGTGGATTGCAGTATGGGTACATTTGGATATCTAATATAATTTCTTTGTTTTGTTTTTTTTTTATATATATATCAGGCCAAATAAGTAACACAGAATCAGAGTTGAAGAAACTTGCAGAAGAAAATCCAGACCTTCAGGATGCCTATATAGCAAAACAGAAGCGCCTTAAAGTAAGAAAACTTAGCCTTTATTATGAGCTTGTTAGTGTCAGATTTTGTCTGTCACAATGTAAACATTTGTTTCACCTGTCATTACCAGTAATGTCATGCAGTGGTTTAACCCTACAAGGCACGAAGCAGTCTGTTCCCCAGATCAGCTACACACTTCAAGTGTGTGCTGAAGTATTGGACGGGTCCCACTGACTTCAGAGGTAAGTACACATCAGAGCTGGTGTTGGACTGTTGAGCACTCTGCAGGGTGAGGCAAACCTCAGTATCTAGCATCTGTAATATTTTTCTTCTGTTACCTGAATTGTCACCAGGTGGTGACAAATGGTATCCAGCTGACTATGTGGAGAAAATAATGACATTTAATGAATAAGCACTGTAGTATCTAAGTAAAAGTTTCTCTGATAGAAGTATATACTCTGTACAATGATTAAAATACTAACCTGTATCTATATTTAGTCTAAACTGCTGGATCATGATAATATAAAATATCTAAAGAAAATACTGGATGAACTGGAAAAAGTTTTGGATCAGGTTGAGACTGAATTGCAGCGGCGGAATGAGGAAACACCAGGTAAGTAATTATTCTTGGTAAATCCTGTTGATGCTTATGTTTGGGGAGACTGAGCAAACTGGTTGACAGCACCATTGCAGGACTGTTTTTAATGTATCCGAATTGAATCTTTTAGCATATACTGATTTAACGTCACAGAAGGGATCAATACTGTTTCAAATACGAGTATAGGTTAGTGCTGCTATAAGTGAGTAGAAGTTTTATGAGAGTGCTTGATCACACTTTCAGCATAGTTAGTATAATTAGCTGCCAAATTTTGCAGTGTTTTATAAACAAAATAAGAAAAACCTTAACTACACAATGTTTTTCTTGATGATGTGGTTTTAAGCCTCCATTCACTGTAACGATCATGACCTTAATGTTTAACACAGGTTTATTAAGATCTTGTTTAAATACTGTGCTGATATTTGTGGTATATGCAGAATTAGCAATCTGGATAAGTGCTCTAATCATTAAGCAACCTCCCTCTCTCACCCTCTTGAAAAGCGGTAGTGTTTATGGGCTGTCCACCCAAATGAAAGTTGAATTTTGTTTAAATGGGATTGATCTTCTGCTTATTCAGAGTCTGGTCCAGTTCCTAGTGGTGCTAATAGGGACTGATTTCACTGGGAGCTGCATGAAGCATCAGTCAGTATCAGCTGCATCTGCTCAGATCAACAACTCTTTGCATTTGGCTCTATAAATAAGTGTTGTAATAATTACCTGTTACTATCAAGACAGTAGATTTGAACCAGAAATTGAAAATCTAGGTTCAATTTTCTACTAACTCAACAGTGAAAGAGTTCAGAAAATGTTTTAACTCACAAGGGATAGTAGGATTTTGATCAGCAAACTAAGTCTATCACCATTTCCAGCAGCCCCTTTGCTTTCTCTGCTGAAGAGCCTTTCCAAGGAGTCAACTGATACACTATTGATGAGCTTATGAAAACTAACAGGATCACAGGATTCAGTAAAACATAGGACTATTACATGCCTCTTGGAATTTTGTCTGAGGTGTTCACATCTTTGGGGTTTGTGAATAATGCTTCTGCCAGGTTCTGGTCAACCTTTGAGCTTCTTCTTCTCTTGTTACTGTTCAAATCACTCATTCACTCACTGCTTCTGCCACTGCAGGCATCTTTCTTTCAGAGAGGTTAGCTTTTTTGGTCTTCCTTTCCATCATCTTTCTTACTTAATGCCCTGGATGAATCCCCAGGTATCCTTTCAGCAATGTAGGATATACTCGTTCTCTGCAGAGGCCTTTCTTCCAGACCTGCATAATTGCTTGAAATGGACTGGTACCAGCGGTGTGCCAAACTGTTGCTTTCCTCTGGTGGCAAATGAGTTGAAAGGGATATTGCAGAATTTCTCTGTTTCCACAGAGGTGCTGCTGAACATTCATGCCAGTGGATTTGTGTGCCCGTTGTGTGGGAAGAACTGTAAAAGGTTGCAAATGAGGAGGAAACGGCATAGTCCTGTTTGAGATGTAGGCTAGAGCAGGGTACTCATGCTGGCAGCTATGCTAACTACCAGATTTCATATCCTGAATTTCAAAAACTCGGTGTAGTCAGTACAAGTAAGCCCTTTCAGGTGGTGGTGATTCAAATCACTGAAGTTAGAGATGTGGTGCTGCCTGGCTGTGGCTGCTCTGAGCCATCCCAGGAAGATTCACCTCTTCCCTTTGACTGGAGAGAAAGCTTGGGGTCTCCATCTGTGCTCCTGACTAATAGTAGGCCGTGTAAATATCCATCGCCTCTCAAACTTCTCAGTGTAGAAACCCCATGGTTTGGGGTCTAGGAGGCACAAAGGAAGGATGGGTAGACAAACTGTCTTCTCACTGAGCCAGTGTGTTTCGTGCAGGTCAGTCATCCGATGTGTTTCTTTTTGATTTGACAGTCTCCAGCAAATCAGCAATTCTTGAGTAAATGCCATAGAGCTGAGTGACACAGACAAGACGATAAATTCTCCAGGCAAGTAGTAGCTTTTCAGTAAAAGCTAAACTGCCTTCTTCCTTTCCACCCCTGTTAAATGTAATCCAGATTTGAGAAATACAGTTGAGGAATGTAAGTGTTTACTGCGGGTTTTAATTAGCCTGAAATATTTCTCTCTTTTCTTTAACAAATGTAGGCAAGGCTGCTGAGCCTAAGACTTTACAATATTGTGTGAAGAATGGACAGGGATTAGTAAAATGTTTGTTGCTTAAAGTAGTATCTTAGCTGAAGTGTTGGTCGTGTTTATTAGACAGCATTTTGAAATAGCACTAAACTAAACATTAGCCCGTGGTCTTCTACGTGTGCTTGTATTCCATTAGCTCCTAATTCTTTATGTTTTATCTCTGCTTAGAAGATGAAAACCCGCCTTGGCTCTGTGGTGATTTCTTCAGTCTGGCAGATGTATCACTTGCTGTCACATTACATCGCCTGAAGTTTCTGGGATTAGCAAGAAGAAACTGGGGAAATGGAAAACGGCCCAACTTGGAAGCCTATTATGAGCGTGTCTTGAAGAGAAAAGCGTTTTGCAAAGTTTTAGGACACGTCAACAATATATTAATCTCAGCTGTTCTGCCAACAGCGTTCCGTGTGGCCAAGAAAAGGGCGCCCAGGGTTCTTGGCACCACCCTGCTGGTCAGCATGCTGGCGGGAATCGGTTATCTTGCTTTCATATGTCTTCGGAAGAGGTTTGCCAACGTGATGTTATCAATTAGAACCAGGCAAAATTATTTTTAGACCCGTCTGTCCCTGGTGGTGAGTGGAGGGCATCTCTACTGCCCAGGAAAATATCTCCAATAAAATATAAACATAAAAGAAAGGTTATGTCTGTTAATTAGAACATTGTCACACAGTAATCATCTCCTGCTGTTGTATAATTGGATTGGCAATGCCAATATATTTGTGGAAAATACATGTTGGGGTGACAACAAAGGAAAGAAGAGACTTTATTTCAGGTGAGGACCTGTAAGGGCTGTGACAGTGCTTTGTTAAAGTGGTTATTGTCTCCTTTATCCAGTAGCTGACCTAATTATAATGCTTTTATTTAGTAGATATGCAGCAATGTGACAACTTTTCACTGTGGGTGAAATGCATTACTGTGTAGAAATCAGCATTGTTGCAATACTGAAAATAGCACTTTAAATGCTCGGAGTAGGATTTAAGTGGAACATAGGCTCTGTGCCTGTTGTGTATGGGAGTGAGTGTCTCTGTACTGATTAATGTCTATGGATTTGCAGTTGGACCTTTAGGAATGTGTTAAAAAGTAGTTTTGTGGAGCCATTTTTGTCACTATACGTTCATGCAGTAGTACAGGAAGAGTCTTGAAAATTATATGAACATGAGTGATTTGCAGGCCACACGAGTGAAATTCTCCAGAGGCATCAGTAGTCAACAGATGTTAGACTTCTGCTGAAATACAAATGGGAGTGAAAAACCCGACACTTGTCTTTTGAAAGCCTTTCAAGTAACCTTTGGCCTAGCCAGGTACCCAGCTCAGCTGCAACCCCTAGCTGAGTCAAACCAAACTATCTTGATGCACATTTCCTGGTTTCATTTGGGTGGCTTGGTACAATTGTCTCCATATTCACATCCCATGTACCCTTTCTGGTTTCCACTCTGAACTCTGGCTGTTTTTTGCACACTACCTGACTATGGTAGCAATTGCATGTGCTGGTATGAAATGTTTGCCCACAGTGTGTCACAGCCAACTAGAAAATGGATTCACAACAATGCATTTCGTAAAAGTAATTTAAAATAGTTCACTACCTTTCAGTCTAGTTAGGTAGCCTGGATTGAAAGTGAAACTGTAATTTAGCTGTTTACTTATGGAGAGGTGTCATATTGGTGGTAAATGAAAAATATAGGTCAGTTTGGAGACAGCTGATTTATACTGCAGATTTTTTTTGCAAAGCTGCACTCTTGTAGCATGTAGGAAAGTGTAGAAAAACACACTGAATGCTTCCCACTACTCAGGAGATGATGAAAGTTTTATTAGGTTTGAACTGAGCTCCCATTTCAGCGAGGAATGCACATTTACCTGAAAGCAGACTTGGAATCTTTTTGCAGCAAGAAAGCAATTGGGAAAGGCTGAAATTTCTCATGACAGTTCAGTAAGTTTTTTGTATTCTTGATGAATGTCCAAAAGCCTCAGAATTTTGTTTACAAGCTGTAGAGAACTGCAACAAGCAAAACGTAGCTTTAAATGTTTTCTTATCACCTAGCAATGCTAAAAGGCCTAAGGTACATTTTTAGATCCAGTGCTAGTGACTGTGGTCTCTTTTGAGCACCAAGATCCACTCTCAGGTTTGCTGGAGAGAAATGAGGCAGTTTCTGTCTGGGCAGTCTTACCATGTAGCAAACATGAAAATGGGTAAAATTGTTGAATACTCCTGCATATAATTTAATATTGTATTAGTTGTCTGGCAAAAGAAGACCTAAATCTCATTGCTCCTTCTTAGTAATAAGAAACATCTTACCTAGGAAACAATGGGGTTTTTTTATTTGTCAAAAAGACAATTTTATATAATTCTATTTCATGAGCCAGTTGTTCTCAAGAACTTGTTGAATTTAATGTGCTCTGTTTAGAAAAGCTTTATTATCTCTAGAGTAAATTTAATCCAACAATACTATTAATGTGCTGGCAGCTTTAACTAAGTTTGTTATTTGTATATTGTAGTTCATCTGCATTTATTTGTAACCAACAAATGCCACTGAGTTATTAAACACAGAGTAAGGCCTATAACTTAATGCTTCTCTGGCATGTATTTCTGTCAACCGATTTGTAAAATATAATCTAATCAAGTCATGGTAAAATGCAGTATATATGACTTAGCTTTCTCTAGAATGAATTTATATTTTACTTTTTGCTTCCTCTTTTTTTAATGCGTTAGTTCTAGATAAGAACACTTACATTCCCAAAGGTGTGACAGTTTAGTTCACACTAGCAGTCCTGTGGACTGTGATACAGGGTAATTATTGATGAAGCAGTTTTACCTCCCCCAAACCTCAGTGATCCCTGCACTTTTGCTAGCACTCACTGCCTGCCAGAAGCTGCAGGTACTGTTGGGAAGGACTGAAATGACCACCAGATGTCAGTGGTTCTCCAGGGCTATGCTTTGACGGGCCTCTAGATGTGCGGGGAAACGCTTGTTTTCACAAACAAAATGTTTGTGACCTCAGCATAAGATGGATATGGGCATCCTCGTCAGACTAGCAGTCTCTTAAGAGCTCTTGAAACAACTTCTTTGGTCTGCTACAAGTTAGTTCTCTGGTGCCTAACATATATGCTTGTGTCTAGTTTCTACACTGGATAAATCAGTGGGCAAAGTTGAAATAAAATTTCACATTAAAATGAATGTCACCGAACAGCAATTAAACTTGTCATCTGCAGGAATGAACATGGATAAAACTTGTACTACAGAAAAGTTCATATCTCTAGTTTAATTCATGTGTATTCAACTATTTGATAACCTACTTACTTTCACTGCTCTGAAGTATTCTGTGTGATGTGCATTTCTGTACAGGTGGCAGCAAAAGGCTTATCCATGACTAAATTCCTCAAAACAGGATCAGATTTAGAAGCACATATGCTGTAGATGGTTCTTTGCACAGGATAGCTTTTGTGCAGTGCTTGTCAAGTTCTTTGCTCTGGTACTTCTGGACACTTTTTTTTGACTGGAAACACAAGCCATCTTCTGGTTTTCATTTACTACTTGCTCTCATATCACCCATCAGATGTATTTCATATTGTATCTTTGTATGTAGGACCTGCAAAATAAACATCAATTCTAAGACTACTTTCTAGACTGATTTATGTCTTCTGTGTCAAAAGCACATTTGACGATCACACACTATTGCTGTAAGGAGTCTGATGATGCTCAAGGAGAGAAGCCTCTGCTATTTCAATTTAGAAGGTATTCAACAGATTGTCTTGCATCTATCTTGAAACAACAGTTACGATAGTTTTCTTTGGTTTTCTGTGTGAGCTGTATGTGCATGAGACTCAACAGAAGCCATTTAATAATGTTAAAAACCCATTTAAAGAAGGAGGGCAAGCAGGTTTTGTGTTTTCAATTAATCCATACCAAAAAAAGGGTTCCCTTCTGTGAGTGATCCTGTTTCTTGGTTTACATTGTTGAGCTGCAGAAGCTGGGACTCATTTTTGTAAGGTGCATGACAAGCACGTAAGCTCTGTCCACGCTGATACTGTCGTTAGTGAGACCGAGCAGTGTACTCTGACCAGTGTTAGTCTGGCCATAAGGTTTGGTTTTGTTTTGGTTTGATTTTTTTGTCTTGCACTGTAACAGTCTGCATTAGACCTTCTTTTAAGCAGAGGAAGGGACAACACCACTTGAGGCTTCCATATGTTTTCTTGCAGTGTTTCTTAAGTCAGCAGAGCTGCTAGGATCAGATAGACAGCTGGTAGGGCTTGAGTTTCCAGAGGTTATGACATCTATGTTCTATGGACAAACTTTGAGGTGGCCTTGATGTTAGCATTAAACCAAAGTATAGACAGAGACCTTGCTGTGAAAAGCTTACGTATAAACAGACAAGAGGCACAAGAGTGAATGTGAAGGCAAGTATAAATACCTTGTCCAGATTTATGTAGCCGTATATCACATTTTTAAAAGCATTTTTAAATTAAGTCTTAAATTTATGGGAGCAAGGAGCTACTAAGGTTTAGAGAGCGGATTAGCATGCCCTAATTTGTTAGAATTAGAGATAGCAGTAGACAGAAAGTGGGTGAAAAGTAGTGAATCTAGCTAACTGAAGCACACTGTGCTCCACAATAAGACATATGACAGATTATTCTTTACGGAGGCCTCCATATAAAGTTTATCTCCTGGTTTAGCTGATGTTAGACAAAGAGGTGTAAGGTTGTGCTTAGGCAATTTATAAGATGTGCTAAGAAAGTCAAAAGCATGTAGAAAAATCCCAAACAAAATATGGGTTTTTTTTCTCCTCCTTTCTTTAAAAATGAATTTTTAGTTTTGGTGCAGTACCAAGTAAAAAAGTCAGGCACTCAAAACTCAGGAAATTCCAGAAGCCAGAGTTCTTACAATACTGTTAGCTCACTCATATGGTACTTCAGTAGCATTTTTATTTCTGTTTTTCTTTCTAAGTTACAATCATGGTGCTTTATTTAATGTGAAGTTAAAAATGTTGCACCATAAAATAGTTAAGCTATGGATAAGCTTAGTGGTTTGGGCAGAATCTGTTGGAATTTCCAGAGTTGAAGTCCTAGGTATTTACATCTTAGATGTGCATCAGCATTTATTTTTACTACAGTTTAAAATGCTCATAAATAATTGTATAAAAGTTTATAGTGTAAACTGATACATAATAGCATAAATCAGTATTAATATAGATATTAGCATCTATTAATCTCCTTTATATACAGTATCTCTATTTATCCCTTCCATATTTCTTCTGCTAAAAATGTCTAATTCACAATTATATATATTACTATATTATTTATAAAATCCAACTCTAAAGCTAAAATGATGAAAATTTGATTGATTTATTTCAAATTGACACAATGAGAATTGTCCTTTATGGTTCAAACTCAGTGCTTTATTATGCAGTTTTTGAGATCCTCTGTAGGACTGAAGGCATTGTCTAAATCCCGCTGTGAAGGCAAGTATAGTCCTCACCAGCATCCTGGAAGGGGGTGAAGGAGAGGTTTTTCGCATGCCTGGCTATGGCTACAGAACCAAAGAGAAACAGCTTCTCTAAAGCGAATTGCTTTTCAGGTAGAACTGGGAAGCATATGGAGAGGGAATGAGTCAGACTACTTGTGTCCCTCTTATATTTTTGTATGGGGATGTGTTCCCCTTTCACCATTTCTACGTGAAACATAGAATCACAGAACGGTTAGGGTTGGAAGGGACCTTAAAGATCATCTAGTTCCAACCCCCCCTGCCCTGAGCAGGGACACCTTCCACTAGACCAGGTTGCTCAAAGCCTCATCCAGCCTGGCCTTGAACACTTCCAGGGAGGGTACAATTCACAACTTCTGTGAGAACCTGTTTCAGTGTCTCACCACCCTCACAGCCAAGAATTTCTTTCTAATACCTAATCTAAACCTACCCTCTTTCAGCTTAAAGCCATTACCCCTTGTTCTATCATTAACTGCCCTTATGA